TCAATATTCTTCTCAATTACACAGGACCTGATTTATTATTATTAGTCTATTATAATTACTCTCTTTTTTCAACTATGGCAAATATAATGATAACATTATTGAAAATTGTGTAATATTGCATTTCTTAAGAAACGCGAAATGGTTTCTTCACAACGCTTACTGTGGTGTTTGAATCAAATAATGTTACCTTTGTACTTGTTGAATGCTTGATTTCGAATTCCAAATACAGTACATTCGTTCGTGTTTATCTAGTACTTCTTGATCCGATTGCGTTATTTCTGGGATTTTTAGTTCATACTAAAATTCAAATACTCCTGATTATCACATTTATGTACCCATAAGATTTTTGTGAATAATAATAAATAAAGGGAAGTAAACAACTCAGTTCACGCAGTCAAATGCATAGTTATAAATTGGTTCGACTAGCTGTAACCGATAAAAATTGAAACGGACGTTCAGTAATCAGTTCTTGGTGCAGATACGAAGGCTGTGATAACTAGATCTGGATAAAGGGAAAATTAGAAATGATGACACTGGACACGACCAAAACGGACTAAAACTTTATAGTAGTGTGATAAACCAAACAGATCCCTTATCCACAATACAGAATCTTAAGCTGTTTGTTTACTTGTGACATGGAACTGTCAGAGACGATGTCTTCCAGCAATGTGTGCAACTTGGAGCTCAGATTAATGTGCTATTCATTCACACCAAGAACTTAAGACATCCTAACATCACGAAAGGAGAAAGGTGGAGTTTCTGATCAGTAAACATGAAAGCAGGAAGAAACCTTTAATCCACTCATGTCTGTAGAGCAGACAAGTTTGTTAACTCATAGCTCCTTGTGGTTTAGTGAGATCCAGTGAATCATTGGTATTTATGTCACTTCCCTATGTAAAATAATCTCTGACTCATGCTTGTAACCTTGAACCGGTTTCACTACCCAACAAAAACTCCTATTACAAGCTGACCTGAAAAATTACGCTAAAAAAGAGTCCAGTGATGACGTAATTAAGTTTGCCAATTTCGTTGTCTGTGAACACACAAATAGATCCGTTGAAGTTAACGTCCTAACTGACAGATTATGCACTTGCCAAGTTGCGTCTAGGGATAATTACCTAAGGACGTTCCTTGCTTTAGTTCTCAGTCACCAGCTGTACATCATAATGCAGACGTAAAAGAGTACCCCAGTTATTACATTGAACTGAGATCATATATATTCTAACTTACACAAATTTACCCCCTTGTTTCTATGACCATTTTGTCTTATAACATATCAACCTATCTGAGCAACGTACTACAGTGAATCCTATAGCATTCGTAACGATTTGATCTTGTCCGTAAACTGAGGTATCTCGCGTGACATATTGTTATTTTTGAATAAACTATTATATCTAGTAATTCATTAGTCAAGCTTCGAGTGTTTATGTAGTAGATATGGGGACCATTTGCAGTAGCTGTATACACTTAATTAATTAAGATCCAATATGTTTAATGGGAGGAGTTTCACCTTCATTATAATTTACCAACAGTTCTCCTTTGCTTGTTAAATATACTTAGGTTCATAGCTGGAGGCATCGATCGTCTACTAAGACTGTTGAGCGAAAGCTTGTCTTGTTCTATTTAAACCCATTTGAAACGCTTGAATCAGTATTGTCGTATGTGCGAAATCAGACTAGATGATTATTCGGCATTCAGCTTTCAGTCTTCACTAATAAAGATAGTGGGTTGTTGGACCTGTGTCAACGCTTGCACTCCGTTTTTCAGTGGGGGTTCAGCTCCTTGAAAACTCTCAATGATGGGGCTGATACCACTTGGTTAGGTAAAGCATTGCAGACAGAACTTTACTCTAATTTTATAAAACCGCCGTATTTGAATGTTCTTGCTGTGGCTTCGGAAATGATTGGCTCTGCAAGTATCAAGAAGGTAAGACATATTAACAACCGAGTCGTTATTAAATATACGTAATGCCAATATTAGGTCACCTCGCTTTCTGAGACGCTATAAGGGGAAAGGGTTTGGGCGGTTTAATCCCTCATAATAAGAAAGTTTGAAAAGACACTTCACTTATTTTTTTCCCACTTTCTGAGCACTTCTGAGCCTTTTAGTAACCTTAGCAGTATATGGAACAGAAGCTTGGTAACGGCACTCTGGATATGGTCCTTTCGTGCCTTAAGGTAACCCTCGTGCTCTTGATAGAAGAAACCAGAGAAGTAGTGAATAGGTCTTTATTTCGATCTTCGCGCAGTCACCGTGGAGCGTTGGATTATCTGTTCAGACAAACAAAGGCTCTCAACATTCAATATAAGATATTAGGGAATATAACGCTTATACAAAATAAGGAAGTGAATGAATACTTGAACAATACTGTTTTGGCATATGCTTGGTTGTTTGGGGTCAACTCTTAACCAACCAACCTAAGCTGTTACAGTTCTGCAAAAGTGGGACAAAGGTCTGAAACATCTTGTCAAAGCATATGAATGCTCGGATAAGTGAACGTGACGCTCAAAAACCTTTGGTGGCTGCTGCATTGTAATGCGCAGTTGTTTTTAAGTCATGATTTACAGTTTCCTTTAAGTCTTTGTGTTCCTACACACATGGAAGCGATGTATCACTTACGTATATTGGTAAATATTGCCGTGCTCGAGTTGCATTGCACACCCTTTCTAAAATTAATTAATAAGCCAAAACCTTGGGACCATCTAACTTATTCGTCCAGGTCACCTTGAAGATCAAGATGATCAGTTATTGTTCCCTAGATTTTGAAATCGCCTGAAAACAATAACGTTGACGACTTGAGTAGCTGCCGTAATTAATTTATTTAGAGATAAAAAAATGAGGAGCCTATGATTATGCTTTGGGGTACACAACGTTTGTTTGGCTCCTATTCAGATAGTGCTCCATCTGCCCTCACTTTCTGTATTCAGTCATAGAGGAAGTTTCTTATCGATTCTTGTACGGCCCCTGTTATTCCGATTCTCGGGAGCTTCTGCATAAGGCCTAGGTAAGAACTCTTCCCATCAAATGCTGTGCTAAAATTTATGAATACCACAGTCTTAACTTCTCTGAACATATCTCAACCAAAGCATCTAAAATACGTAAATTGCTCAAGCTTCATGTTTTTGGGACAGAACATTTTGTTTGTATCAGACTCTTTATGGTCGGCAATAAGTCAATCAATCAGTGATATTGAGGTTGTTCTCCTGCGCTCGCTACTCAGACTCATGTCTCAAATTTTATACTGGGTTAGCTATTCTACTAAGACAACTCATAACATGCTAACTCGAGCTTTTACATTAAGACTGTGTGGCAGGCATCGGATGGAAAAAAAACCGGACAATAAAAGATACAGTTATTAGTTTTCTTAACACTTTGCTCTCCATATGCACTTTCTGTTCTAATAAACAGCTTTCCTTATTCCAGTCTTGACTTCCCTTCCTTCATTTGAACTTACTCCACCTCGGTAAATATCATCACTCATTGTTATTAATAACTGCATTCTCTCATATGGAGCCTCGGATCATATCTCACTCCGGCAACAAGAGCTAGTATGAATTCAATCTAATAATTTATCATACGTTTGTCTGTTCCGTTAAAAAATGTTGAGTATTGTTTGTCGTTGATATAAAATTGCCTTGCTGTTTCTTTGTTAATCTTTTTTTTCAGAATCTTGCTCTGAGGGCACAGCTATGGAACTTCTGACATTTGGAACAACCTCGACGCACGCGTTTCCCAAGGTCGTGGTTCACACCAAGCGCTCTACAAGTCTACTTTATAGCGACTATAAACATAAAAAGTTACGTTGCATAAATACATAGTATGACCAGAATCCTAACACAATCATGCTGGGATTAGATCTTGTGTGTAACGTGGACTCGATGTAACTTTGGAAAATCTTTTGAAGACTACTCAATATATGTGAACGAGTGAATTGATATCCACTTTTATAGATTATATTTATTTAACAACATTGCTCAAGATGCATACTGTAAACCAATAAATATTGTGATCTGTAGATGGCGTATACCTGCCCTTGAACAAATATGTTATACATATATGTCGACTGAAAAGCAGCCATCTTGGGTTGTTGTCTGACCCTTTCACTCAATAAGTAACTTTATTAAGCCTGAATGCTTAGTCCGAAACCAATGTTGCTCGGGCGTTAACAGATTGTATGATTCTGTGTGACTTCTTGATGCAACTTAACCGTTATGCTGGTTAGACTGACAGGTCGGTAGTAAGACACGGTATTTCTCTGTCCATATTCAAATCCAGGACTAACTATATCAACTTTTCTGTCCATAGAGAGTTGAGTGTGAGAAAGATTCATGTTGAACAGCATCATAAGTGGTCCTGACATAATGCCTGTGAAAGGTGACAGCAATCGTGAGTGTGACCCATCAGAACCCGATGTCTTGCTAGGTCCGATGTTAATGGATAATTAAAGAACAGCTTTCCTAGTCACATGCACAGGTCCTATAAGTGGTATCTCAGTGATATAGTTATGATAAATATTGTCAACATTTCCCTCAGAGTTAGGCAAAGTATCAGCTAAATAAGATTTGATTCGGCTAGAGCTATTTGAATTTCATACAACAGTAATGCAGGAATATCATCACCACGTTTTGTCCTTAGTTTAATGTACGGAAACAGTCATTTTGGGTAGGTACGGATCTAACGAAAATTCCAAACCTTAACCAAAACATTTCAGGTTAGAGTCAACCGAGTATGCTTTAATGAGACAAATAAACAAAAGCAAAGTTAATTCCTAAGTGAGAAATCCACGACTTTTTTAAAACGCTCTTTATTCTCCAAGACTTTAAATGGGGTTGAAAGTCTAGAATGTATCGACTGTTCTTGAATAAAACATTGTTAAGGTAATATTACCCACCAATAGGCCACTTACGACGATAATAGACATTGTGTTTTAGTGTATGAAATAAGGAATATGTTTAGTGTCTTTGACGAAAGCTGGTACTTCAACTTTCCGTTGCTCGGAAATGTTTCATCGGTCCTGTAGACTTCTTTTGAGGTTGCGCACTGTCTACAAACCGAGTGCTTGCTTTTCGAGTGGAAAAAGACTAATTTTTCCAGTTGTTACACAGAGGTCTGTCATTTACAGGTAAATGCCCTGAAATAATGTAATCTTAAAAGGTCGATCATCCTAACGAATCATGATTTGCCTTTGTTGTCTTTCAAACGTTTTATGTGTAAGTTTGTCAGCTGAATAATTTTACAGTTCAGCTTATCCTCCTCATCTCGTAATTAAACTTCCCAACTTATCTCCTACTATGGAGACAGGTACGGTTGTAAGCTGGGCAAAGAACGAAGGCGATGAAGTATGTTCGCTCCTCTTTTGTTAATCTTCTAGGTTTCGGAAGGTGACCTACTTGCTGAAATCGAAACAGACAAAGCAACCATGTCATTTGACGCCAATGAGTCCGGATTTCTTGCGAAAATTTTGGCCCCTGCTGGAAGCAAAGATATACCTGTCGGAACAGTATATTTTCCCGTTATGTTATTTTAATATTCTAGGCTCTATGTATCATAGTTCAAGACGAGAGTGCCGTTTCGGCTTTCAAGGATTATGTAACTGGACCAACAGTAAGTTGTCATTCATGTGTATTTCAATACCGTTAAAATATTTCCTTAAACATCTATATACTAAGTTCGTATTGCAGTATTAAAATATCTACCTCGGAGATAAAAAGTATACTTCTGAAGGCATCCATGGTATGTTGTAACACTAAGGCGTCCTCAATTTCTTTATAATTTGGTTCATTTGTTCACAGTCCTGACATGTACTGGTGAAATGAATTTTGGATTTAAATGTAGTTCAATGTGTAGGAAGTTAATCTGTTAGTTTCAGACGTAATTATTGTAGTTCTAATGGTCTTCAGCCGTATTAACCACATTCAAAAGACTTTTTCATGTTAATTAGAAAATAAGATGGATATTGTAAAATAAACTATAAACCTACAATTTAAGAAACAGCCGGATTCTTTAGTGAGTTTTATGCCTCTGATATCACTGTGGACGAACGTTTGTTGCAAATGTTTTGTACTTAGTAGGGTCAGGTTTTTTCTCCATAGTCTATAGTTAAACCGTTCGATTTTTAGCATTGCTTATTAATGATCATGCTTTTTGTTGTTCAATTATGGATTTGTACTCAAATCACACTAGTAAGGTGATAACTCTTGTCAAAGTACTCGGCTTTCCACCCCTATTTTGCATATTCAAACTCCCGTCTATCTCCGTTTGGACAGCTTATTGGTATCATTATTATCCACTCAAACTCGAGTAATTAAACCTGTACTTTTTATTCAAACTACGTTTGATATTAACTAGCCAAGCTAGCTCCCGTCGAGTTTTTTAACCAAAACCTCTGTGCAAGTTCTTAGCATATGTTTTCACATCAATCGGTGGCATGATAAATAGTTCCAGTAAAATTTTGGGAAACGTTAAGATGCAATAGAAGGTACGATTACCTCACTTAAAAATATTGAACTTCATCCTGCGAATTCAGTCACACATTCTTATTGCCCGATTGAGCTCTTAGCAATAGACTACGCTGTCCATAATGATATGGAACGTACAGCGTTTGTTATTTGATTATTTGACATTTATTCAAACCTCTGTTCTTTGGGTAGTAAATCTCAACTATTTCATTCATTAGCTACAATCTGGAATAAAGTTAGTGAACCGCTGTAAATAACTATCCATATGTCTAACTAAATAAGTGAACACTTTAGTGTCTATAAAAAAATATCATTATCCGTAGGTGAATGATCGTTGCTTGCATATTTATTTTGATTGTCTCCACGTATAATTTTAAGTTCAATCGTTTGACAGATCATTTTTTAATTAAACACAAGGAATGCTTAATACTAGAAAAAATTGATCCGTTTCAAGTTACAATCTCAATGTTATATTAATGTGGTGTTTGCTACTGATGTCGACAGATATAAGTGATATGTATCATCAATTGAAAGTAAAATGCGTCGAGGCAGAAGGTTAAGAAAATCGAAAGAAAGAATGAGGACAGAGACTGATTGGTGTGGAAATGAAGAAACAATCATATCTGAAACGATAGATTGACATTTTTTCAAATGAATTATTCACTGTATGATTCTCAGATTTTACTAAGTGATTCTGTGATTTTGTATGCAAATATATTCAGTTGTCTCCACTTGTGTTCTCGTTCACTACAATCTTAATATTAATATAGTTCAGTTAACTCCCGTCTATCCTCACTTATAATGCATGTGAATTAAGCCAATATTGGGACAATCCGAATAGTGTGCACATATGCGAATAAGGGATTGATCAATTGCAGTCCTAAGCATCAATGGGAAGATTCAAGTAAACAATACCAAGTGAATTTAAACTTCACCCCATTGCACAAGCAAGTGGCTATCAGGACTCAGTAGCTAAGTGGATAACGCGATGGCATTTGAAGCGAACGGTGCTGAGTTCGAATACTGGAATGAACATCAACTCTAGGATGAGGACACCTAGCTGACGAATCCCGCATAGGACGAAACGTGCGTCCTGGATTTTACTGCTAGCCGCTATCCATCTTTACTTATAATATATCATATGATTTTTGTAGATCCCATGCCTTCGTAATATTTCGTATAAAGCACATATATGCTTCATATATCATCTTTAAATTACAAGTGAGTTTATTTTTAAATTCTGTTCAGGAACAAGTTTCTACTCCAAAAACTGAAGTACCCAAACCTCAGGTCCCTCCTGCTGCTGCTTCTCAGCCCTCACCAGCTACACCTAAACCTATTACTCCTACTCCCAAAGCACCAGCAACCGGAGAAAGGGCTGTTGTTTCACCGTTCGCTCGTCGTTTGGCTGCTGAAAAGGGACTTGATTTGTCAAATGTAGTTGGCACTGGCATGTACGGCATGATTCGTTCGACTGACATAAATCTTGAATCTATTGATCAAAAAGCTAGCACAATGACTGGTGGTCCAATGTTAAATTATGGAAAATTCGAGGATATTAATGTTAGCAACATGCGATCAGTAAGTGTGTTTACAAATTCATTGAGTGGATTTGCATTTTAGTTTCATGATATGTTTAGTACGATTGTGTTAAGACATAGGGTGTATTCCTTTTCGACTACTTGGGCTAGGTCCACAACTAATTTTCCAAGAGAGGGGTTTTGTTTTAGTGTACTTTGGATCTAGTAAAACGACCAGTGTTTATTTGTTATAGATCTGAAATAAATTAGTTTGAATATTTTTTATTCTTTTACTAGCGATGACGTTGGAAATATTGGGATTCAATCTCACCATACAATGCAAACGATAAATGCAGAGTAGACATACCCGAGTTTATTCATTGAGATTCTCTAAAAATTAGTTTCACCGCTTTCGTGTCTAACCGTATTAGGCTTTTGCTCTTAGTTCGTTCGATTTCAGTCAATCGTAAACAATACATAACCTGATACACATGTGCATCAGCCCCAGTTGCTACACCATATCGACACACGGCGATGAATTCTAATGAATATCTGTAGCTTCGAACAAGAAATTCATTTCTAGAAATACAGCTTAAACAAAATTAGTTTGAAAGGAAGTTGATGATCATCTTTCTTATTAGAGAAGTTGTAGTGCAATAACGCGTACTCTTATCCCAGAAAACTAAGAGGAGCTCGACCATGACTTGATTTCAGTTCACAGTGTCATTGAACTTTTGATCTGAGTTGTCAGATGGAATAAAGACCGTATGATTAAGGAATTTATTGTATCTGGTTTAAATACACCTACTATTTATCTTTTCATCATTCGTTCTCAGCTGTTTTTTTTCGTCTTGGATGCTGTGTTAATGAGGGCAGTACTTGTCTATTGAACTTTTCGGGGCCACACCCCGAGCCTTTGACCTAAAGGTCTGACCCACAAGACAGTGGAGCATCGTGAGGAGATGCAGTCCCATGGTAGCCGGTGACCAACGATTGGTTCATACGCCATTTGTTCCTTTACGATACTGGAGCCCATGTGCACCATTGGTTTGGAATCTGGTTAAAGCGCCGGACATTCGCTTTTCGTCCTCTCATTTTCGTAAACAACACCCGTGGTGCAAGAAGGCAGTGAGTAGGACTTCCCTGGCAGAGGCGGTATACGCGTGGCCATGTGAGAGCATTTCGAGAGGGAGGGTGGGTCCACCCCACTCCCGGCCATACCAGGGCATTGGGGGGCATATTTGTTCTAGTTCCTATTCTATCTCTACCTATCTTTGGATTTAATTTTCAAAGCCTCATATGACCAAGAAAGTTTTATCAGTCTTCTAAAGTCTGACTTAATTTCGTGATGCGTTCTCTAAAAGCTATACATTAAGTCAAACAAATGTATTATATTGGCGTGTGAAGATATATTCGAAACATCTTTGACCAGACTGAAAAGATTACAATCTCATTAATCTTTGGTTTGTCTTTGAAATAATATCAACAGTCAGATAAGCACTGATCACGAAATCGTATCTATATGAATGATAAAAAATGTGTGATAATAGATGTTGGCTAAAACAGCTTTGGCCGCTTTGTTAGATGTAGCAATCCAGACGTTCCATTTTATTTAGCTCATCTTTCTCTGTCGTCGTATCCCATTTGTAATGATGTAGGTAGGTTGGAGGGATTTTGTTAAATTGTGATTTTTATCCATTTCAATCAACCCCAGCTGATATGTAACAACTTTTTATATGGATTAATATAACCAGTATATTAAATTCTATTGTCGATTTTGCTCAATTTCAATTTTGTTTGATAAAGTGTACATATCCATTCTTCTGAAAGATGACTGTTCACACTTTCATATCACTGTGACTTTTGACAATATACAATGATTGAACGAGATGGTATTATATGAAATGTGTTCGGTAAATTGTATATTAACCACATAATATTTTGTCCAACTCATGTCAAAATCAATCAATGTTCATTGATTTTTTAGTAATCAACACTGTCACTAATTCTCTATGAATTTCTTCTTTATATCTAAGGTAATTGCTAAACGATTAACTGAATCAAAACAAACTATTCCACATTATTATTTAACAATGGATATTCAAGTAGATGAAATTTTAGAAATACGCTCTAAAATTAATTCAAATTTATCTAATTTAAATGACTCAAAATCTGATGAACCTGTGCCAAAAATAAGTTTAAATGATATTCTTATAAAAGCAGCATCATTGACATGTTTAAAAGTACCTGAATGTAATTCATCTTGGCATGGGGATTTTATTCGACAGTAAGTTGTTTGATATTGTTTGATAATTTGAATGTTTGTTTAAATTGGATTCAGCTCAATATATTTGTAGTACTTAATACTAATAGTTGAGTTATTTTATTTGGGTAGGGATATTTAGCTTTAATGGAACGATAGAGTATATGTGTAGCTCAGAATGAGAATTTTGAGGATCAGAAATCAAATCACAGATGGAGGCAATCAAAATAATTATAAAAACAACGATCATTCACCTATGGACAATGATCAACCATTTATGGAAAAATCTTAACGACTAACTCATTTCTTATTAAGGTTTGTACTAATGATGTTATCAAAAAATACACAACGGGATAATTTAGTTTAGAGGACAAAACACCTTCGAAAGTTGACTCTATTTGTTATGTCTGCGGAGTGCTTAACTAACATCCTGATATTGGCTACTTGAACTCACGGGTCGGATGACCGAAGTAAGAACATGAAGATGATGTATGAGGGTTTATTTGACCCTCACAGTAAAGCGAAATGACATCGAAATACAGTAATCCCTATATTATTTAGTTATAGTCAGATTCCCGACCGTAGATGCTGCCTTGGTGTGAGGTCAGGTTTACCTGTTGTGATCATTCAACCGAGCTATGTTAGTTGAAACACTTTTTTCCTTTAGGTCCTACCATGCCTTGCAGATCAGTTGGAGAACGGTAAGACTAAAACCAGCAACTTAGGGCCGGAGGGCGAATTACTGCCAACTGTAGAGGAGTGTGACAACAGTAAGATTTTCCCTCGGACAACCAGCATCTGCAACGAATCTTGAGCATCTTGTGTAAACAACTGTTTATAAATACTTGTACTTTTTGATGGTGGTTGTAGTAGTTCTCAAAGTTTCAACTCTGTAGACGATCGTTAAGAGAAATCGATTTCATGTATTACTCACGTCGTTATAATACCCAGTATACAAAATCTTAATACTAGCACGTAAAACTCATCTGGAGGAAGCGTACATTACAATAGTGAGTCGTGCCATATTATACACCTATAAAATATGGACGTTTAGATTCGCTTACATGAATTTGCATGTATTCGGTAGTCACTGTATTAGAGCTGTCGTAGATCAACTGGTCAGTGTTGGATTTAAATTTACAAAAATTTCTACCAGGAAGTATCGTAAGTTGTAACTACAATCTATGCAAACATCTCATTAACTCTACAATACTTGTTAGCCTGTGTTTTATAGGATAGGTAGCTAAGACAAATGTATATGAATGTACATAAACGGACAGATATCATCAATATAGAGCATGGGACAATTGTACTTAGCCCAAGTCTCTATGCTTGATTAGCACGACGAGATAAAAATAACAAAAGTGACCGAAATAATGTAGTAATAATCATGAAAAAAAAGATTAATCACTAAGAATATAACTTGACAAGACAGGACTGAAAAGTATTGATCAAATGATACTGAAATTTAAGATCAAGAGGAAGATTTAGAATGAATTTTACTGCATCCACTGCTAACGACTCTAACCCGTCACCCATAGTTTCCAACCACTGATCGCAGTTATCATGCAAACCTCAGTTACAGTTAGTCTGTATCTACAAACATAACCAACAGTCAGTGATGTCATAGCTTGATGCCACGCTTTGGTATATCCTCCCTTAGATTTCTTTCAACCTACCTCAGCACTAGTAATCTTCACTCGTCAAAGTAGTCAAGTGGTTAGGCATACGTTACACATATACATGACCATTGACAGTAACAAATTCGTAAAAAATTGAAACTTCCATAGTAATTTTAACTTATTTTGCCTTTCTAATTCTTTCCTTTACTTTGTGTATGTAGATATCATACTGTCGATGTAAGTGTAGCTGTGGCTATTCCTTCTGGATTAATCACACCAATAATATTTTCTGCAGATACAAAGGTAACAAAAATTTAGTTGTTTAACTTAATATTTTGTTTCGGGTAAAGCAAAACTTTTCATTTTCAGACGTTAAAAAAGTAAATAGATGAATTCTGAATGTAAGGAGAATTTATTTCTCAATTGAACTGAAAAGAAATATTTCTTTGCTCTCACTTACTTACTTACGCCTGTTACTCCTAATGGAGCATAGGCCGCTGACCAGTATTCTCCAACCCACTCTGTCCTGGGTCTTCCTTTCAACTTCTATCCAATTCTTGTTCATTTTTCTCATGTCTATTTCCATTTCTCGGCGTAATGTGTTCTTTGGTCTTCCTCTTTTCCTTTGGCCCTGAGGATTCCATGTGAGGGCTTTCCTTGTGACGTAGTTGGGTGGTTTTCTCAATGTGTGCCCTATCCATTTCCAGTACTTCTTCCTGCACTGGAATCTGGTTTGTTCTCTCCCATAGTAGGTTTTTGCTGATAGTATCCAGCTAACGGATCCGAAGTATTACAAGTAGACAATTGTTTATAAACACTTGTATCTTCTGGATGATGGCTTTCGTAATCTTCCACGCTTGCGCCCCATTATTTCTTTGCTCTAGTCGTTTATTTTTCAACAGTATTTTACATACTCGTAATAGTGAGATATTTTCGTTTCACTTACACCTGTTACCCCTCGTAGAGAAGCATGGGCCGCCCACCAGCATTTTTCACCGAACTTTTTCCTGATCTGTCTTTTTTAGTTGTTCCCAGTTGCTACTCATCATTTTGATGTCTTTTTTCAATTCTGGACTCAGTGTGTTCTTTGCCCTTCCTCTGTTCAGTTTCCGTTCAGGATTCCAAGTTACCACTAGTTTCTTTTTTGTGCACATCTAATAATGTCTTGACGCACTGAGTTGGATAACATTTAGGGCTCCTGTACCCACCAAGAGAGTCGTGATCGACTAACAGATTCTAATCTTTTGTCGCTGTTTTTCGTTTTATAAACTGATCACCTCTTGACTTTTTCCATTCAGTCTCAATGAATAGAATTGGTATACAATCTAACCGACACAAATGTTCTATTTAATTTTGATCAATATTTCTAGCAACTTGAATGGCTAAGTCACGCAATTCCTACAGACATTATGTCGAGATGGCTCTGTGCAAATACAGTTATCATTTAGTTTACAAGGTGGTTCGTGTCTTATCAACTAATTCCTAGCATGAAATCAACTCATACAGACGGATTACATAAAGCCATAACTTAATTCATCAACATAAGTATTATGAGGTTACCTCGTTAATTTGTGAAGTAAAATGGTCTTCATCTCACTGCCTTCTCGTAACGAGGGTACTGTTTACGAAATTGAGAGGACAAAAAGTGAATGTCCAGCGCTTTAACCGAGTTGGTGGATACGGAAGGTCCACCTTGGGGAGTCGGAAAACCTTGATTCTAAACCAATGATGCACATGGGCTCGAAGATTTAGAGAGAACAAATGGTGTATCAACCTATTTTTGGTCACCGACTACCACGGGACTCCATCTCCTGACGTTGCTCCACTACCTTGTGGATTGGACTTTTAGATCAAAGGCTCTTGGTGTGGTACTACTCTAAGAAAACCACCTGCTTCAGTGTGAGCACCCGGGCAGTATCCCAGCCGTGACATAAATCGAATGACGGAGTGTGATGCATATCTATTTGGTGCCTGATTGTGTCAACTACACCATAATATTACTGACATGATAGTTGAATGCAAACTGCACTATAAAAACGATGATTATGGTAAAGTACCCCCCTCCTGAGATTTTCATCCGCATAAAAAAATTGTTTTCAATTTTTTTGTTCAATATTCATTTTCACCGTATCTTTAAATGGTTATTTCTTTTATTCAATTTATAGGGTTTAGTACAAATCAATAAAGAAATGCGAATGTTAGTTACTAAAGCTAAACAGAATAAATTAAAACCTCAAGAATATCAGGTGAGTTAACTTTTCTTTTTAACTTGTATACTTTTGTATTACAATGTAGATTTTATTTCAATTATATAAAGATTAGTTATCATTCCTTTGTATTATGTAACGAATTAAATTAACCATAGAATAATACAAGAATATATTCATTAGGGCGTTAAAGAATGATAGTGTTGGCCGCCAAGTGCCCTTCTACGGTCGAGAGTGGGGAGAGTCCGCTCTCCCCCTCCAAATGCTCTCACATGGCCACATGTATATAGCCTCTGCCAGGGAAGTCCTACTCACTGCCTTCTCGCACCACGGGTGTTGTTTACGAAATTGAGAGGAAGAAAAGCGAATGTTCGGCACTTTAACCGGATTCTAAACCAATGGTGCACATGGGCTCCAGTATCGTAAAGGAACAAATGGCGTATGAACCAATCGTTGGTCACCGGCTACCATGGGACTGCATCTCCTCACGATGCTCCACTGTCTTGTGGGTCAGACCTTCAGGTCGACGGCCCTGGGTGAGGCCCCCTAAGAAAACGACCTGTTTCGGTTTGTGCACCCGGACAGTATCCCGGCCCTCACACATATCAAATAAGATTTGTGTGGCACATATGTATTTGGCGCCTCCTTGTACCAATATCTATGTATTAATATAAATAAATAAAAATAACGAATTCCAGTTAGTCATACCGTAGGTTCTGGAAAATCAACATACTTTTCAATGTCCGACTATAGAGCTGTATTCCTTGATCTTAAAACAGAGTTCGACTCAGTTGATTGTGAGGTTCTGTATTAGTGTTCGTCATTTAAAGGCATATCAAAAAGTACTTTAATCTTGTAAGGGCCTCTACTCAAACACCTCGGGTCAAGTCAGAGCTTATGGCGAACTCTCATCAGAGTTGATTACTTCAAATGACATTCATGGTTGTTTGCCTTCCCCGTTTTTATTTAACTTTGTCATAGATATGATTTTAGAAGTAACATTCATCATCTGACTTCTCAGTAGTTGATCTTCTATCAAGGGATTAACTTGTTAACTTAGAACCCGCAGATTATATATATTATTTTTGTTGTTGTTTGGAATGCTGCCCATACTCTTGCTACCTCTACCACTACGGGATTTGAATCGACCACTGCATCTCTGTACTAATGTGGTGTGGCAACTCGAACTGATGTACGTACGTACGAAGTTCTTCGTTGTTACTGACTGACTGACTGACTGTTTGAAATGCAATCTTCTGACTACGTTAAGCAACAATGCAATGATGTTTAGGATGCGGTTTTCTCCAGGACTGGCTTGCGTCATTGGTTGGATTTATGTTAGGGAGTCAGGAAGTTAAGCGCATCGATGGCTTCACTTATCTTGAGAGCCTATTCAGTTCTGATGTCTGACGATATCTCGGCATGAATTCAGAAGGCTCGATTGGCTTTTGACCAGCTTGTGGTTACCCGACCGTTGTTGCTACCTTGACGTGGTGGTCGGGCTTGCCTATCGTGATGAAGCAACCGAGCTATACTGGCTGGAACAACCGTTCCTCAAGGTCCTACCATGTCAGACAGGTCGGTTGAAGAGCGGTAAGACTAAAAGCAAGAAACCCAAGGTCCGAAGGCGAAGTCGTACTGCTGACTGTACAGAGGTGTGACAGCAGTAAGGTGTTTCCTTCAGACAACCAGCATGACAGCGATGCTGCCTTCCCACAAGGAGGGGTGGGGTTAGAAAAGGTCGACCCTAAAAATGCACACCTCGCCTTATCCCACGGATATCCGTCTCCGGCGGTAAGGTCTCAATAAGTACGGAGCTAACACAAAAATTACCCATAACAAGGTCGTGTGTGACCGACCTCAAGCAGTTGTCCCTTGGGCACTGCGGTCACGCTCTCAGGTCACTAAGACCACCTTTAATCCAAATTCCTTTTCAGGTACCCCCAGAACAACCCTTCCACGGTGTGGGCAACCGGGAAGTGAAAACCGCCCTCATACCTCTAACAGCACTCAAGACCACTGTATTCATAATCAACCTTCCTCTTCAATTCCTATTATTCCTCCTACATCGACTTTCAACTTTAAATTTCCTCTCTCGGCTTCCACCTCAAGTGTCACCATAGCCAACGATTCTAGTGCGCAAAATACTGTCCCAGGTCTACTGAAACCTCGCTCCAAACTACACATTGGAGCCTTCAACGTACGAACCCTATGTCAAATCGGTCAGCAGGCTTCCTTGGCTAAAACCCTAGAGTCTCTTACCATTGACGTGTGCTGTGTCTCCGAAACACGCATACAGGATTCCAGTGTGGTCATTCACTTGACCTCACCTCGGCAAAACGGAGAGCCAACGAGGTACACCCTTCGTGTATCTGGTGACCCGATGGCAAGTTCTCGTGGACTGGCAGGTGTAGGCATAGCACTAAGCATGAGGGCGGAACAAGCACTGCTAGAGTGGATCCCCGTCAACAGTCGTCTATGTGCTGTTCGGCTGAACGGCTACGTAAGAACTCGGAAGGATAGGAACACACGTCGTTGCCTTTTTGTCGTTTCTGCCTACGCTCCCACTGACTGCAGCTCAGATGATGTGAAAGATGAATTTTACAGAAAGCTGTCCGAACTTCTTCAGAAAGCTAAACGCTCAGACATAGTACTCGTAGCGGGTGATTTTAATGCTCAGATAGGCAGTTTAAAACAAACAGAAAGGCATTTAGGTGGATATTTTAGTATTCCGACACAGCGAACACATAATGGTGATCGTCTGCTGCAGCTATGCTCAGACAATCGTTTATTTTTAGCAAACACAAATTTTAAGCATAAGGAGAGACATCGTCTAACATGGCGACCCCCTACACCAAACCAACGATGGACTCAAATAGACCATATTGCCATCAGTCATCGTTGGAGAGGGTCGGTAGAAGATTGTCGCTCATTCTGGAGTACCTGCTTGGACTCCGACCATGCCCTAATACGGGCACGCATCTGCTTGCGCCTCACTGGACGCAAAAAAGCCACATTAAAAAGACCCGTTAGAACTGAGTTAAGTAACGAGAAAACCAGAAGTAGGTTCCAGGAACAACTGAGGTCACACTTAGGTAGTTGTGAAGACGAGGCTGACCCAGATGTTGCTTGGAAGGGCATACATTCAGCTGTGGAAACAGCAGTGACATCTATTAGTGACTTAAACCACAGAGTTGTAAGGAACCAGTGGATTTCTTCAAGGTCTGTCACACTGATGGATTCTCGCAAACTCGTCCCATCAGGTTCTGAACATGATGAAGAGCGAAAACAAATCAGATCTAGGTTAAGAAAAAGTCTAAGAAACGACCGTGAGCAGTGGTGGGCATCGAAAGCAAAAGAGATGGAAAAGGCGGCGACTATAGGGAACACAAGACAGCTTTACAGACTAATAAAAGAAACTGGAATTAATAAGTCAAGTGTAAGTGAGATTATATCGGAAAAAGACGATACACTCATCTGCTCCAAGTCCAGGCGTTTAGAACGATGGGCGGAACACTTTAGGGAACAGTTCAGCTGGCCTTCAGCTACTCTACAACTACCCTCCATTCCCAGACAGTGTGAATGGAACATTGAAGTAGGTCCCCCGACTCTTGCTGAAGTTCAAAAGACTATAGTTAATCTGAAACGAGGAAGGGCAGCTGGTCCAGATGGATTGGCTCCAGAGGTCTTTAAGGATGGTGGTCCAATTTTAGCGATTAAGTTGACTAATATTTTAGCTAAGATCTGGGAATTAGACTTTATCCCATCTGACTGGTCGCAATCACTTATCATCCCAATATATAAGAAAGGGTCAAAATCATCCTGTGACAACCACAGAGGGATTAGTTTAACAAACATAGTATCTAAAATACTGGCCTCGATAATTATCAAACGCCTAACTAAGACTCGTGAACTACAAACTCGAGAGAACCAAGCTGGCTTTAGACCTGGTCGTGGCTGCATCGACCACATATTCACCATTCGTCAGGTTCTAGAACACAGGCATACCTATCGGCGTCCGACGATGGTGGTATTTCTCGACTTAAAAGCAGCATTTGACTCGGTAGACCGCGAGACTCTGTGGCAGTGTCTGTCATTGAAAGGCGTACCTCAGAAGTACATAAACCTTGTGAAGGCTCTTTACTCGAACACTACTAGTCGAGTCAGGGCTTATGGCGAACTGTCATCTACTTTTGCAACCTCAAGTGGTGTCCGTCAAGGCTGTCCACTTTCTCCATTTCTGTTTAACTTCATCATAGACCTATTGATGGAAATAACACTCTCGTCGACTGAATTCTCGGGTATTGATCTCCTTCCAGGAGGTCCACTTATCGACTTAGAATACGCAGATGACATAGTCCTGTTTGGTGAAGACGCTGACAAAATGCAGAGTCTTCTGGCAGCACTAAGCAACAATGCCAGAATGTTTGGGATGCGCTTCTCTCCATCTAAATGCAAGTTGTTGCTTCAGGACTGGTCTGGGTCAACACCTGAACTAAGGATAGGGAGTGAAGTAGTTGAACGCGTTGACAACTTCACTTATCTTGGAAGTCTGATCAGCCCTAATGGGTTGGTGTCTGACGAAATCTCAGCACGGATTCGAAAAGCTCGTTTGGCTTTTGCCAACTTACGTCATCTTTGGCGAAGGCGAGATATCCGTCTATCAATAAAAGGGCGAGTATACTGCGCGGCAGTTCGTTCTGTTTTACTTTACGGCAGCGAAACATGGCCCTTAAGAGTAGAAGACACCCGTAAGTTACTAGTATTTGACCACAGATGCCTTAGAAATATTGCTGGCATCTGCTGGGATCACCGGGTAAGTAATAGTGAGGTTAGACGCAGGGTATTAGGGAATGATGGTAAATCAGTTGATGAGGTTATGAATCTTCATCGACTGAGATGGTTGGGCCACGTGTTACGTATGCCTGAATACCGATTACCACGACGTGCAATGCTATCCGGTATTGGAGATGGTTGGAAGAAAGTTAGGGGCGGCCAAACCAAAACGTGGCATCAGTGCTTGAAGTCACTAACTTCTAGTCTGAGCCATGTTGGTAGATGCAGACTACTTGGTTGGGGTCCACGTGACTTTCGTAACCAATGGTTGGAGACTCTTGGTGACATGGCTGAGAATCGATCACAATGGCGTCGGTGTATACACTCCCTGTCTTCTTTTAAACTAAGAGACTAAAATCACTTCATTCTTTCTGTCTACGAACTAATTCTTTCTTCCTATACTATATCTTTATTGCAACCTTTGACCTAACCACTCCTATGAATCCGCTGTTCATCTTGCTGTGCTAATGAGGTATGGCAACCTGGACCGATGCACATATGTGCCTGGTCGTACGTTGTAGCTGACTGACTGACTGAGCTTGTGGTTATGGGAGATATCCGTCTCTCAACCAAAAGAAATTCTCTCCGTTCCATTTTGTGGATGTGAAACATGGCCATTAAGAATGGAAGATATTTGTAGGTTACTAGTATTTGATCATAGATATCTTCGAAACCTTGCTCGTGTATTTTGGGACGATCGAGTAAGGAATGTCTGTGTTAGGAATAAGGTACTAGATAAGGATAATTAAACGATTGATGAAGTGGTTGACACATCCGTTACGTATGCTCAACTACCTCCTAATTCGATAGGTGATGTTATCTGGTGTTGTGAAAAAAGGTAGGAACAACTAAACCAAAACATGGCATCAGTCTACGAAGTCATTGACAATTGGACTAAGCCATTTTAATAAGTGTAGGTTACCGCCACCTAGTTGGGGTACGCGTGGTTGTTACAACCGATTGTTAAAGACTTCGGATGACACGGCTAAAAAGTGTCTGCAGTGACGCAGGTGCATCAATTATCTGTCTTCCCACAAATTCTGAGATTCTAAATTCTCCAACTTTTTTGTTTTTATTTCACTAATTTATATTTTCTCGAATCATATCTTTGATACCTAGTATTTTCTATCACTATTGATATTGTTCCTACCTCTATTACTCTGGGATTCGCTTTAAAAATTCCATCACTGTGCTAATAGGGTATGGCGGATCGAACCGATGTACATACGTACAAGGTCCTACGTTGCTACTCATTAATTATACTCAACATGAAACCTAGTGTATGTTTTAGAAATAAAATATTTAAAAGAGAATTAGTGAATGCATCTACATTATTGTCAGGGATTTTTGGTTGTATTTCATTAGGCATTCCAAGCTACAAATTATTACTGTCTTTCTGAATGCCACCAAAAAGTGTATTCCTCTCTAGATAGTTTAAACAGTAGTATTGAGTGCTTTCATGAAATTGAATAGAAGCTTTAAAGTAATACAGCACAATAGTTGAAAGTTAAGTGCTTTAGTCAATTAGCCGTAGTGTAATTTGAAGCTCTCGTACATAAAAATGTAATGTGTGAGATGGTTAGAAGTAATCAGTAAGAAACCTTGGACTTAGGTTTCGTACTAGTCAACACTTGTCAATAAGACGTACCTGTAATATTTAGGAGAATTAATACTGTTTGTGAGACTCGGACCGTATCATTTAGTTTTACATTCTTGGATATTACTACTAAGTTATTCAGGCTTCTATTGTTCTTCTGTAAATGAAGATATGGTATACAAAATCATTAAATTAAACATTTTAATTCCATAATTCACTTATCAGCTTTACTTACTTACTTACTTTTCTTCTTTGACATCAGGCATTCTTTTTTACTTACGCCTGTTACTCCTCGTGAAGAAGCATGGGCCGCCTTATCAGCTAATAAGTACTATTTCATTCATCGTTAATAATTACTCTTCAGTTAATTATTGTATTTTATGGTTAGTATCTCAGAATACTTTCAATACATTTAATATCTCAATTGTTTTTTTAATTATTTCAGGGTGGAACATTTTCAATTTCTAATTTGGGGATGTTTGGAATTACTAATTTCTGTGCTATAATTAATCCACCTCAAGCATGTATTCTTACTGTAGGTAGTACAAGACCAAAAATTCTACCAGATAATAAAAATCCTAAAGGGTAAATTTGATCAAATATTTTAGTGTATCTATATATATACGTGTGTGTGTGTGCGTGTGTATGTACGTGAATTTGACTTACATTTTTGTGAATAATAAGAAAATTTCGATAGTTGAGATCATGAGTCAATTAAAGATAAACCACCATGGAAAATCTGGAAACACTCGACCGCCTTTTCGTCCTACTGTGGGACTCCTTAGCAGTGAGCATCCACGATCCCACCCCGCGAGATTCGGACTCAGGACCTATCAGTCTCGCACGCGAGCGTTTAATCTCTAGACCACTGGTGTAAATGTCTAATTTCAACTAATCCACGAAATCGAGCGACACATTCACCATTGTTGTCAGTCAGTTACTATCTCACAACAGACCCGGTTGAACTGCACTGGTCACTGCTTCTCACTAGAACTCCAGGGAATAGCTCTTGAAACCAGTCACTGGTGAGCATATGCTGATTAGTATCAGAAGTTTCTATTGTGGATATTATGGTAATTTCAATAGTTGAGATCATGAGTCAATTGAAGCTGCAAGTTATGTCTGGTAGTTCGCGTCTATTCAAAAGGAGGTGTTTTGTGTACTACTAGGTGACCATGAACAGTAGCAACATTGAAGAGAGTTGAAAAAGAGAAGAACAAGAGAAAAATTAAGCACACATACAATTCACTTACATTTACTATCGAATTCAATAAACAATAATCAGCAACGACTCAAGTTACAGATTTAAGACAATCTTGAAATGGAAACTAGAAGTGTACAGCTGATATCTGTCACACAATTATCATGATTAATAAGTGATGATTGTCATTTTTTTCTTCCTCTTCATTTTGTATTGTTTTATCTTTTGTAGATTTAAAGAAGCGAATATTTTATCAGTTACATTATGCTGTGATCATCGTGTTGTTGATGGAGCAGTTGGAGCTTATTGGCTTAGTGAATTTAAAAAGATTTTAGAGAATCCAGCACTTTTTCTTATTTAATTAAACTTTTGTTGTTGTTGTTAATATACTCATAACGGATGTATGGTTCGTCTTCTTTACACTGTTTTCTCTATATTCACTCAATAGAATATTTAGTAGCATAACAACAAGTACATGAATAGATTTACACCCACCCTGCATCCCCATCCCACCCCACTTATCCACACACACACACACACACACACACTTGAAGATCATTGTAATATCTGGATTAGGTGTAAGATGTAAGTTTTTTGAAAACAAGTTTATTACAACATTAGTTATCGTATCTCTTGTTGCTTGGATTGTCCACTTAATGTATCTTTCTTTACTATTCTGTTTTTGTTGTTCACTTTAAAATGTAACCTTAGACTATAGTTATTTATATAGGGAATTTTTGTTTTTAGAAAATTGAATTGTATATCATGCATGGTTATACTATGTGTTATTAAATTTTCTATTATATGCGTGTGTGTGTATGTATGTGTGTATACGAAGGTGGTGTATTTCTTTCCTTTTTTGTAGCTATGTAAATAAAGGTACACATGTTTGTATTGGTTCAAATTGTTATGATATCATATATTTATATATGTTATCAGAATGGGTTTTGTGGAGATTTTAGAAATTTCACAGATTGAAATCATGAGTCAATTGAAGCTAGACCACCATTGAAAACCTGGAAGCACTGGACGGCCGTTTCGTCCTAGTATGGGACTCCTCAGCAGTGCGCATCCACGATCCCGCACCACACGGGGCTCGAACTCAGGAGCTACTGGCTTCGCGCGCGAGCACTTAACCATTAGACCACTGAGCCGGCATCCAACGGTGTTAATGTCTAACTTCAACCAATCCACGAAGTTGCGCTACCGTACACCATTGTCTTCAGTGAGTTCCTATCTCACAACAGACCTGGTTGAACTCCACTGGTAACGGCTTCTCACTAGAACTTCGGGAGTTTTTCTTGAAGTCAGTCACTAGTGAGCAGTTGATTATTATTATCAGAATGGGTTTTGTGGAGATTTTAGAAATTTCACAGATTGAAATCATGAGTCAATTGAAGCTAGACCACCATTGAAAACCTGGAAGCACTGGACGGTCGTTTCGTCCTAGTATGGGACTCCTCAGCAGTGCGCATCCACGATCCAGTGCTTCCAGGTTTTCAATGGTGGTCTAGCTTCAATTGACTCATGATTTCAATCTGTGAAATTTATATATGTATCAGAGTAACGAAATAGTCAAGGTAGTAGATAAGATAATGGAAAAAATGAAGTATAATCAATATGATTCGAGAGGAAAGAATGAACTTGTAAAGATTATGAAATACTTTTGGAACTTAAAATTTTGAGTAGGAGAGTAAGAGTTAATGGTTCTGAGTTATTGTGATCGATTTTGAGCCATGACGATTAAAGTTTCCAACGGTTAATTACAATAATCATTCTATCCCCAATTAAAGTGGTCTAAGGTTCCAAATGTCCTGGTATGACTAAAGGTAGGAAAAGTTCACTCTCTGTCGAAGCGCTCAAATATGGTCACGTGTATATAACAATTACCAAGGGTGTTCTATTGATTGCCTTCTCGCATCAAGAGTTTTGTTTGCAAAATTGACAGGACGAAAAGCGAATGTTCGGTACTTTAACTGTGTTGGTGGTTACGGAAGGTCTACCTATTCAAGGGTGTTGGAAAACCCTGATTTCAAACAAATACTTCACTCCCTTGTGGATGGGACCTCTTCTTCAAAGTCTTGGGGAGTGGCTTCCTTAAGAATGCACCTTTTTTGGTTTGGGCACTTAGACAGAGTATCCCAGCCCTCACGCGGATTTCGTATAGCGCGTTTGTATTTTGGTGCCGCTTTGTACCAATGTTTGTGTGTATAAATAAACAAATGGGTATTCTGAACCTACCAACATGGCTCAGTATAACAACTAATGAATTCATGGACTGATCCCATATTTTGGTTTGGCCTCTCCTAGTTTTATTCCAATCTACTACAATAAACAACATCGCTCGTCGAAGTAGGACATTATTAGGCATACGTAACATGTCCCAAACACCAATCGTTAATCAAAATCCCCTATCTTATCAACTGACTTACGTGTTACTACGTGTTTAACATCAACGTTCCGCACTCGATCATCGCAATACACAAAACAACGCTTTGATAGTATCTACAGTCAAATACTAATAAAATACAAAAGTGCTTTGTTTCTAAAGTCCACGTTTCAGAGTCATAAAGTAGAACAGAACAAATTGTTACTGTTATATCCGAGCGAAGATTAAATCACGAGTAACTTCTGAGACCTTTTAATGGACTAATATTATCTATATATTCTTATGGTATAACTACTCATTAATTAGATTATGTATATTTATACTTCCCTTATTATAAGCTTTATTTTGACCTATATTTTATTATCGTACGATTTACTATTCTTAAGCTATTTTCAGTTTATTGACTATTGCCTACAACGTTCACAGCCACTTTTTGGCTTTATTGTGCACAAATGTTATTTCCTATTTTATGGTACGTTGCGGTCTGTCTGATTAATATATAAACTGAGTATGTCTGAAATAAATGATTCGATTCGCATAGTGGAAGCTGGTATTTGTGTTCTGGACTCATGTGGACGGGCTAGGCGGACATAGGACCAAATAAGGACGCTAGACTGCTCATATTGGTCGAACTTCATTGGTTTTGGCACAGTGCTAAGATTGTATAAGTCATATTTTGATTGGTGGATAAATCACGTGATAAAAAGCTGGACATAAAGTCAGTCAGCCAGTCAGTCAGCTTCAACGTAGGACTAGGCATATATATGCATCGGTCCAAGTTGCCATACCTCATTAACACAACAAGATGAATACCGGATTCATAAAAGTAGTTAATTCAGTGGTGGTAATGTATAAAAGAAAGAGTGCATATAAGGATATAGTACAGGAAGAAAGAATTAGTTCGTAGAAAGAAAGATATGAAGCGATTTTAATCTCTTAGTTTAAGGGCGGCCTGCTTGAGCATCTGGGCTACCTGTTCCTGCCATCTAGATATTTCAACAAGTTATCTATCGTTGTTTGTTTTAATATATCATTATGTTTATTAATCGCATAACCTATTCTGCTGCGTTTCTGAAAAGTGTACAACCTTTCGTTGTCAAAGTTACAGAAAACTCAATAAGAGACAATATGGTTGCTGGCAATGTACAACGAAAAGAATGCACATTATTCAGTTGTTCATTCACTGAAGTGCTAACATCTAACTGGCGTTTTCTCAATATTTATCGCCAGGACCGACCAAGAAGAAAGGAACGGAAACTTGTTGAAATACTTTGAGCTGAGAATTCTATATTGTACCAAAATTATAATATTGAATAAAGCTAATAATAATATAATAATATATATATATAAGACAGAGAGTGTATACACCGACGCCATTGTGATCGATTCTCAGCCATGTCACCAAGAGTCTCCAACCATTGGTTACGAGTTACGCGGACCCCAACCAAGTAGTCTGTATCTACCAACATGGCTCAGATCAGAAGTTAGTGACTTCAAGCACTGATGCCACGTTTTGGTTTGGCCGCCCTTAACCTTCTTCCAACCATCTCCAATACCGGTTAGCATTGCACGTCGTGGTAATCGGTGTTCAGGCATACGTAACACGTGGCCCAACCATCTCAGTTGATTAAGATTCACAACCTCATCGACTGATTAACCATCATCATTCCCTAATACTCTGCGTCTAACCTCACTATTACTTACCCGGTGATCCCAGCAGACGCCAGCAATATTTCTAAGGCATCTGTGGTCAAATACTAGTAGCTTACGAGTGTCTTCTACTCTTAACGGCCATGTTTCGCTGCCGTAAATTAAAACAAAACGGACTGCCGCGCAGTATACTCGCCCTTTTATTGATAGACGGATATCTCGTCTTCGAAATAGGTGATGTAAGTTGGCAAAAACCAAACGAGCTTTCTGAATCCACGCACAGATTTCGTCAGACACCAACCCATTAGGGCTGATCAGACTTCCAATATAAGTGAAGTTGCCGACGTGTTCGACTGCTACACTCCCTATCCTTAGTTTGGGTGTTGACGCAGACCAGTCCTGAAACAACAACTTGCATTTAGATGGAGAGAAGCGCATTCAAAACATTCTGGCATTGTTGCTCATAACAATCACACAATGTGATCATCTTTTGATTAATAAATAAACATCTTACCTGTCTCACGCAAGTTGATTTTCATAGTTGATAAATATATAGGCCGTGTGTTTTCTTAGATCTCAAGTCTTGTGAATTAAAACTGACAAATAGAATGAAATACATTGTACTGAATAGATGAAGAAATAGAACTCGTTAGTTTACATTCTCCTGATGTCAACACTTATACTTTCCAAATAAAATAGCCTTTCCAATTAGATAGATATTCTAATAAACAATGATTGTCGAGTACACTGACACTTCAAATATTCTGAAATTGTAAATAAAACATCTTATATGCATATACTATAACTTTTGAATTAAGTACAATCAGTGATTAATTAGGCTAATTATATTGACATTCTACTATGTTAATGGTTGAGATGTTTTTTTAACAATTTCCTACCAAAAAGTATGTGTTAAGATAATATGAATGATAATTCCTCAAAGTAATTTACAGTTTCGTGAATTGGTTGAGATTAGACATTAACACTGTTAGATACTGGCTCAATGGTATAAAGGTTAAGCGTTCGCGCGCGACATCGGAGGCCCTGGGTTCAAGTCCCGCGAATAGATGCGTACTGCTGAGCAGTCGCACAGTAGGACGAGATAGCTGTCCAGTGATTCCAAGTTTCCACTGGTGGTCTATCATCAATCGGTTCATGATCTCAATCAATAAAATATGAGAAATATTGATAATATTTACAAATGTTTGAATGCAAACTAACTACCTTATTCGACAAGCAGATTCCTATATAATATGTACGTTAAATTTGAAATATTCACTTGATTTTCTGTTTTTATCCGTGAATAAAATGGCATCGTAATT